GGTCGACTGTATCGGACTGTAGGGACGGGAGGACGTTGCATCTCCTCGGAAACTCACGGGTGGGCTATCTATAGCAGCGAGTGTAACCGAATAGAAACGGAGTGTCACTCAAGGGTGACAAAACTCATTAATACCGATCTGCTTAATGCTCCGTCTCGTGTCAAGCATTAATCTACTTAAAAATACCGGTATAACACGCACGATCTACCATTTTGGAATCGTTGAGCGCAAACTAGAGAAGCCGGTCGATGGGTCGCACGCTCCTTAATAGTCGCTTCCTCCTCCCTTTCCACGTGCTTTAACGTTTCAACGTTTCAGCGTTTCAACGTGGCGTCGCCAACGAAAATTACCGTTTCGTGGATAGAATCTCACTCACCGTTGATGGGTTGAAACCTCGCCAGAGGGTCCGAGAACTGTCTCAGCCTTTCCGTCACGTATCGCGGGGAAGTTGCACCCTGCAAATAACGAAGCCAGCTGTTGCGATTATCGGCTTTAGCGACGATAGCGAATTACGATAAAATGGCGAAATACGCGTCTACTTAGGAAACGTTTGATTCCATCGTACGAATATCGCGTCAGTTACGAATTACCAGCTCGCCATGTAGCGACTTTTGAAGATCGAGAAGCGGAAAACGTTGAACCAAGTTCGGAGCAAGTTCGACGAACGTAAATTATCGATGACATCGATGAATAAGTCGCCGGTGAACGTGTTCGCGACTTTCTTTCTCGCGTACGTTTCTCCTCTCTCTGTCAAACGCTAAACACCATGTATACATTTTATCTGTTTCGGCGTATCTATATGCGTCGTCGCGGCCAACTATTCTTAGAGTAAAGGCAGTTCGTCGCTGCACTGTCCATCGCTTGGTATCGCGAGTGCGTATATGCGTGCGTACGCGCGTACGTACATAAGTGCGCAAGAACGTAAGTACATAAGTACGTTCGTACGTTTATCGACGCGCGTTCGTAGCTCGTTACGAGAAGCTGCTATCAACGAAACTAGGTGTACTTGCTGCGGGAATATATTTCTGCGAAGAGGGAAATACGTTTTTCAGATTATTTTTTAACGCGACCACGATGGAAACCGAGGATAAAAGAAAAAGAAACGCGAGCGATTTTTTAAGCGGTACGAGTTTGGACAACGGGAGAGAAAACGACTGCGACTTTTTGGGAGAGATCAACGCGATGAAACTTGTGACGAACGACACAACACGACGCGACGGGATGCTCGTTGAGATGAAACGCAAAGTGAAATCGAGGAGCTTTTATCGTAAAGTAGGATACGTTAACCGCCTGGTGCTCGCGTGTGAAACGGCTGCTTTAAATAAGCACGATGTTTGCTCTGGAAGATGGCTTCGCGTCCTCGATGTCGGAGGTCGATACAAGTTGTCTTCTTTTTAAAGTCGAATTTCTCGAGCATATAAAATCTCGAATTTATCTCTAAGCCTTTATCTCTAAGTCTTTCGAAAACACGAAAACAGGTCGCGATCGACGATCGTTCGCTGCCTAATTTACACGCTACGAATTTTTTGACCATTTCTCTCTTTCTTCGCAACCTGTACAACGACACTTTTCATCTTCTGTACGATCGTTTCAAGTAGCCGTTGGTCCGATCGTTCGTTTGTCTCGTGCTCGTATCCTGCCATTTTCAGTCCTCTTGTATATCACACCTATTGCGTTTACTACGACGGTTAGGATGATTTTTCATTCGGTCTGGAGCGGAGCGCAAAGTAACTTTCGTTTCATGTGGAATGGAAGAAAAGCGTGCGCTAACGTGGCACGAATCGATGCGCAGAATCGAGCTTATATTTAGCGAGGATACGAGACGACCGGTTTGCACGATACGAAATACCAGGGAAATATATTTCATTGTATAATCCCCTCGAGAAGAATCCCGAAGTAGTTGGCTCGTTGGCTCTGCGTTTCAAAGACCGTGCAACGAGCTACGACGCGACAGTTCGTGCGCTTTTCGCCCAACCAGTCGGGTTGTTTTATTCGTAACTTGTTAAACTTCATCAGGCTGCCTGTTCGGTTTCCTGGTCGGCGTATCTTGCCAATTCGTCGTTAAATAGATCAAAACTACTACGGAAAAGTATAAACAAGATACGACGCACCAACGATTATTTTGTCGTTCCGGATGTCGCAAAAAGATGTCTAAGCGCGAAACTTAACGTTCGTGCGAGTGCGTCACGAACACGTGTACGACACGTGGTCGACTGTGCTCGTTCTTGAAAAATTATTCGGTCGAATTCGTTCTCTCTGTTTCGACCGAATACGAAATACGAGTAGCTTCGGCCGACATGAAAACCGATGCGAGGAACGCAACCTACGTAGTCGTGAGTAGTGAGCTTTAGGAAAAACATCTTTAGGGCACGATCGATCGGCTCCTTCGATACTTACCGGCGTATCGTTAGTCGAACCGCGACCCTGAGCTACGGAGGATCTGTTGCTCTGCAGCAACGCTTCCAAACCTTCGATGTACTCGATCGCGTTCCGTAGAATTTCTACTTTCGGTAATCGTTGATTGGGATTGTTGCTCGTCCTCCTTTTCAAAACTTCGAACGCCTCGTTCACCTGAAACGCAGACCTATCGATCGGAGAGGAGATCGATCCGGCACGCGATTCTCGTATTCTATTCGAACGTATTCTATTTCGGCTAACCTTTCTCAAGCGCCTTCTTTCCCGCAATGTAGCAGCTTTTCTTCGATCGACGGTCACAGTCTTCTTCTTGCAGGCTTTGCAAGCCCAGAGCAGACACCGACGTGGTCCGTGCGTCGAGGCGGTGGTGTCAGCGGTGTCCAGTGCCACGTGAGGATGAGGCACGTGCTCGTTCTCGTTCGACTCGTTGCTTCTTTCGTTCGATTCGTTGGGTTCGATCGGTTCGTTCGACTCGTTACCCTCGTTGCTCTCCTCGGCCTCGACGGAACCGGACTCGAGATCGGCCGAAGCATCCACCGATACAACGGACGACGCGTCGTCCGAGTCCACCGCGTACCGCGATGCTCGCGACCTGTCGACCCATCATAAACTTTTACTCTTTTCGTCTCTACTTTGCCTTCTCTCTTTCTTTCTTTTTTCCTTCCTTCCTTCCTCCTTCCTTCCTTCCTTCCTTCCTTCCTTCCTCCCTTTCTTTCTTTCTTTCTTTCTTTCTTCTTGCTTGGCTTTTACAAGCGAGGGAACGAGTCGAATAATTAGGAAATATCGTCGCGTCACGCTGCTCGATAGACGCGACCGGACC